AATTATATAGTACCTTTTTTCAAATAATAAATACGACTTTACCCAAGTCTGCCTGTATTGAAGGTTGTAAGAAGATCGGAGCAATCAGTTCGTCGTGAGCAAAGATATTAAACTCAGAATTCCCTAATCCTTTTCAATATAACTCTAACTTCACATAAAAACAATTGGTCTAATATACGCTATTGAAACAAGCTTTTACTAAGAATAAAAAATAAGTAAGTACGTAGGATGTGATCGTAAAAAAATTTGATGAAGATTATTTATTTTTATGTATTATTTTTAATTATTATAAGACGAGGTCGAACAGCTTATAACAGTAACGGCAACATTTATATAGATTTGTAAACAATTTAGTTTAAGTTCATGATATATTTATGTATTTCAAAACCTTTCATACTCTAAAATGTATAGTATTTTAATAAAAATTTCAAGTAAGCTTGAAACAGTTTGAAGAAACAATCTTTTTAATTGATTCATTAGTAATTATTATACTTTGAAGCTAATGTATGACAAATAGATCTTTTCATAGTTACTTGATTACCACAGTTCGTTCCATTGACCTAGAAAATGTGGTACCATGAAAAACAACGGAGTATCCGGTCCATCCCGAGTAAAAGTATTTCTTTGCAATTTGGAAACAAACGATCTGTACTACTGCAGAGAAATGGTGCGGCTGTTTCTGGTGACGGACGTGGTTTTGGTGGTCGTGATGGAGCGGGAAGTTGAAGAAACCCATGGACCACTCGCACGTATACTTCTTTCTTGTAGCTGCAAGCGCTCTGAGCTTTTAGCTAACAGTACTGGCATCACAGACGATAATTGCTATGGCTACTACTCGAGGTAGGTCCATTGTCGTTCATGAGCTTATTTTTAAATTCGCAGCAATACTTTTCAATGAACTGCTGATACTCCTTGCAAACCTATACGAGAGTAACCATTATTATTTTACTCACAATACTTGTTTCAATTGTTTTAAGTCAATCCAAAAGTTTTGTGTGAAGGAACAGTATCTCTCTACATCCTAGCAAAAACATGGAATGAGTTTATTACGGATAAAACGTATATTAACAAGTGATTCAGGGCTGATGATAAAAGTTTACGAAAAAGTTGTATATTTTTACTTTACAAACTTTTAAGAGTACATTTTTACTATATGTGATAAGCTAAAGTTGTTCTGAGAATATCTCTAACTGATAATTAATCAATGATACGTTTTCTGCCGTAAGTAAGGCTTGTGCTTAAAACACAGTAAAAACTGACAGTATGTTGTGACGTTGGCTCAAAAGTAAGTAATGGTTGTTTTGCAATGAAAAAAATGTATTTTCTCAAGATTTTTTTTCTTACATAAATTCAAGAATTATTTGGTACAAAAAAGCTGCTACGTTCTGCACTATTAGTTTAGAAAAATTATAAATACCTCACTTCAATACTTAAAATAAAATGGAAGATGATTGTGTAGTATTCAAGTAATTTTTCTTTACCGTTTTGTTTAGCAGACAGTGAAACACAAAAATGATAAGTCCCTGGAGGCTATTCAACGCTGTGAAGATGTATGCCATGACCAAAGTCTGACGGTTCATGAACAACAGTCCAAAGGTCCAGGTCAAACCCAGCAAGAAAACCAACATCACAGAACCTTTTAACATTGTCCTAAAAAGTTTGAATTACATGTTACTAAAAAATTAAAATTACATGTTTCCTACGACTTATTGCGTTAAGAATAATTTTTATTATTTACAAAACATATCTCTTCTATTATTAAAAAATATTATTAGGCACGACCAATGTATGGGAGTTCCTTATAATTGTGTCAGAGCAAAAAGTGTAACCACTTATTAATCGTTTATTTTTAGTAGTACGATACAAATTTTTTAACCTAGTACCTATAAGGGTGATCTGAGATGGTCACATAGTGTATGTGTAGAAGTTTGTGTGTGCGTCATCAAGTTTTTCGACTAACTCAAGTAACAATGATCCAAATGGCCTGAAATTTATTCGTGACTTCGAGTTGGATGTTTCAACCATAACAGTTTAAATTTAAACGAGCTTCATTGAAAGAAAAAATTTTGACAGCATTTTTAGTGCAGTACTCTGAGACAAAAAAACAGTTTTTCAGCGATAAATTTTTTCTCATACATTTTACGCGTTCGCTTTGTAGATCTCGTTGGAATACAACTTTTTTGGACTACACACTTTGCTCTATATCGTAATGTAGACGCTCTATAGAGTAAAATAAATGTGAAAACAGCGAAAAAAATGCGAAAAATTACGGTTTAGTAGCAAAATGTCAAGTAAAAAAATTGTAGAGCTCATCAAAATGAAACTTTTTTATACAGTAAGTTTTTTTCTACAATGCCATCTTTAATTCTTTAATGATTTAATCAGCAAAAATCGTTTCAAAATAATCAAAAAATTGTTTTACGCCACCTAATTTTCAACAGCACATTTTTAGACATAATTTTTAATACGGAAATTGTAGAACTTCTTAAAATCCACTTTTTTGTACTGACCAATTTCACTTATACTGTTGTTATAAAGACACTTCATATCGAGAAACGTTTTAAAATATCTAAAAAAGCATTTGTTAACTTAAATTCAAAATTATTACATTGATACTAATACTCAGTTGTATGTGATAACGGAATGACATTAAAATTAAATTCTGTTTTTCAAATAACACTTTTTGCTCTGATCGAGGAGTGTATTATAATAAAATTAATAAAACGAATCAAAAGTTTTACAAATACCAACAGAAAAAAAGTTGAGAAGGCTTACCTTATATTGCCCATCTGCGAGTGAACTTTGGTGTTCGCGGAGATGGTTTTATTGGTCCGTCTGCAGATTACATTCATTGCCATGCAGAGAAACCCAAAATTTATCTAAATATTTCATTTAAAAAGACAAACAAGATTTATTTTTAGGTGATGCGCTATTGTTATATGGTTCACACAAATTATATTAAAATCATAAAGATTACCATTAAATAATATTAAGTGGGCTTAAAAAAAATGTTCGAATTTACGTACCACCAGGATGATTATGACAGGACCCACAAAGCTAAATATGAAGTAATCCGTCGTTTTCAACCAACAGTAATGTTCGGTGCCGTAGCCCCGGGGATTCAAAGCACATGCGATAGCGACCACCATCAGTGGCATCCCGTACGCAAACAAGTAGTACCAACGCATGCGAGATCTCCCCGTTTCGAAGACTTTGATCAGCATAAAGTAAAGCTGTAAACCTACGGACAACAAAGGAATTCAAAAACGAGTGGACTGGACACCAAATACTCTGCCTCTATACTGAAGGTAAATATAAAATTTGAAAAACATTCCGATTTATACCTTCAATGAACATCCAGGCAAAGGCGCACAAAAGGAAAAAGTGAAGCAGACGTGCAATGATGCCGCAGACAAGTTTCTGGCTTGTTTGTTCAACCCCACCAACGAATAGGGCCTGCACAATGAGCAGGCAGATGCACAAATTTTTATGAACATTTGTCACGTTGCTCTGCAAAAAAAGGGAAAAAAAGACATATATGTAGAGTGAGACAAGCTTGTAAAAATGTGTATCATCGCGTAAAAAAAAAAGAACCGCTATCATTAAATGCTGGAAGCACGACGATGACAGTTGCCACTAATATTTTTTTTCTCCTCCCAAAGTGTGAAAAGAGTGTATGTGGTGAGAGAGAGAGAAAGATATAGAGTGAGACAGAAAGAGCTTGTGAAAATGTGTATCATCGCGTAGATGAGTATAATTGGCAGACGGAAAGGAGTGTAGTGTAGAGTTGAGTCGAAGCAAAAGAAGACAGTAAAGATTTTGTGTCTGTCTATGGCTAGAATTTGTGGTTTTTTGCTTCTACCGGAAAAGCTGTAATTTAGACAAAAAAACGTTCATGAAAAAGATGCGCAATTTCAAGACAAATAAAATGAGCCCTGGTGGACCTAAATAAACCTTGCCGTTTTTCCACAAACTACCAAAAAGTGTCAGATTCGCTCTGTTTTTTGGCAGTTCCTAACTGGCGTTCTAATGAACAATTTGGCTTTAACAGAATACGGGCTTTGTGATTCTTAAGAACCCTACAAAATTTTACGACGATTGGGCGCAAACTTTTCGTAAACTCTTAAATAAACTTAAAAAAGGTCTTTCCTAAAAAACGGCTCCATAAAAGTTGTTAGACCACGTAGAGCCATTTTTCAAAATTTTTTTTCTTAATAAGATTTATAGATGTTTCAGCGGGTGGCCCCTAAATCGGCGGCGCGTCCAATCCACCGACTTACGAAAAAGTTAGGGATACGAAAATTTAACCAGAATAAGATTAACATCTTATTAAGAAAAAACGTTTTGAAAAATGGCTGAAAATTAGACCTTCTTTTAGCTTATTTGACAATTTGCAAAAAGTTTGCATTCGATCGTCTTGAAATTTTTTAGGACAAGACCCACGATCCCTTCGAGTATTTTCCACTAGCAATTGAAGTTCTTCATAAGAGAAAATTGAAAATCACAAGTAATAAAAAGAACTCGAGGGATGCCATATTTTTGATTTCGTGAAACTATTACCTTGAGCTTTTGGAACAGCTGAAAAGTAATGATCTCAAGGCCCAAACACACGATNAAAGAAAAAAAAATTCAATAGTATTTTTTTTTTTTTTTTTTTTTTCGAATTGTAAAAGAAAAAAATTCAAAGTCAAATTAAAATCATTGTGGGAAAATAAAATTACAATTGGTTTGAAAATTAATTGCTTGGGAGTGTGAAAGGAAATGGAGGGCAAAGGTGTTTAGGAGAGTAGTGCGGCACAGTTGAAAGATATATGATGGGGCGAGTGGAAGTGTGTATAGGAAACTAATGGTGAGAGGGATGGGGTAAGGGGGGAAACTTAGGAGGAAGTGACTTCTGGTAAGCCACTTCCGTTTCATGAAATCTGTCGGTTTTAAAATTCCAGCCCCCCGAGTACGCGATATAAAGAACTTCGTTCTAAAAAGCTGTGACATTCATTAATTTAGAAAAATTATAAATACCTCACTTCAATACTTAAAATAAAATGGAAGATGATTGTGTAGTATTCAAGTAATTTTTCTTTACCGTTTTGTTTAGCAGACAGTGAAACACAAAAATGATAAGTCCCTGGAGGCTATTCAACGCTGTGAAGATGTATGCCATGACCAAAGTCTGACGGTTCATGAACAACAGTCCAAAGGTCCAGGTCAAACCCAGCAAGAAAACCAACATCATGAAGCCTTTTAACCTTATCCTAAAAAATTTCAATAAAATATTTTCTATTACTTATTGCGTAAAGAAGAATTTTAATTCATTACAAAACGGGGTAAACTAACACAATGCAAATCTCTTTATAGCTCATTAATGAATCTGATGATGAAAAATTCACAGATAAGTGACGTATAAGCAAGTATGAAGTGACCCTACATAAAATAAATAAATTTTCGAAAATTTAAAAGAAATAAAGATACGTTTGTATTTTAAATGCATTTATACTTGAATACGTTGAATATTAAATACAGAATTCGAATAGAAAGTAGTTCAAATACTTTATTTTAAATAAATTGTACGAAATACATTGTTTTAGATACAATTTTATTTGATGGATTATTTGAAATCATTAACTTGAATACATTTGTAGTTTACTTCATTATTTCTAATACCTTGATAAAAAACAATTATATTAAAAAATGTATCAAACTGTTGCATTTCCAATACTAATGAATAATATTAAAGCGTTTCGGGACCACTCTAATATAGGTTGTTCCCGAGTGATTTTTCCATTCTCAATACACTCTTTTGGCGAATGCGTAACGGCTCCAAGGCTCCATTTAATTTCAATAATGTACGTATGTACAAGCTCTGAGGCTGATGGAAATTTTTTTAATTGAATGATAGCTCACCAGATGCGAGTTTTTTTTACAGAACACAAAAGCTCAAGACTTGCAAGTAGATCTATCTAATCTTTGGCTTAAAAACATCCTATAATGGTTTCAAGATATAAATTGAATATAAAAATAAAAAATAACGAACATTTATCCTCATTACTAAAAATCTAAAATTAATGTGTAGATATACATGGTATGTGTTTTAATATTATATAAGCAAGGATCGTGAGTATGACGAGTATTAAAAAACTACACATGGCACCCACATACAACATACATCTTGTAACAGCTGCTTTCTGATCGAGGAATTCACCTTAGGTTTTTTTAGAAAAATTTTATTTAGTTGGGTTTGGGTAATACTAATAGACATGCTATCATAGTGCTGATTTTGCTTTGAAACATTATAAGAATAAAATAAAAAAATGTGAATTTTGAATGTCATGGTAACGCACTTTGCCGTGGACAATTATGTTTTTAATGAAAACACGTTAAAAAATTATACTTGTATTTGACTCAATTTTTAAATTCTTCTACCCTAGAAAATGACCAAAAATAAAGTAGATCATTATTCGATTTTTTTTAAAAAAGACTATATCTATAAAATTAAATCAAATTATAAAATAGTATCACTCTTGTATTTCACTAGACTTATAAGTTATTTATCCTTGTACAGTACAACTTCAGTAGTTGTAAAAGTTTTAAAGTTGTGACACTCGAAGTTGTTGTTAGCACTTTTTGCATAAAAATTGTGATGAATTAGTTAAGGTGATTAGTAATTAATTAAAATCAACTGATGTAACTAAACGCATCAGTTTACTACTAATGTTGGAATTGCATAGAGAGTTATGGGGTTTAAGAGGACACTTATTACACGTAGGTTTTTCTGATAAATCTTTTCAAAACTTTGAACGTATGTATACCGTAAAAAATTTCAAATCGTTTTACTGTGTCACTTTTTATATATTTAATTTTAAAAAGTTTTAATTTGTCATGTATATAAGTGATGAGCTAGACTTAATTTAAAATCTAGCATGTTTCTCCTAGTAACGTAACGATCGCCATACCGCACCAAAATTAAAGTGTTGTTAGGTGAATGGATTATTTCCTTTAGGTTATTTCTTTTTCTTAAGACAAGTAACTCTTTTACAGTTGATAAAAAAATGTAATTATTAACTACTAATTAAACTCGGAACCCAGGATTATTTGGTTTAAGGGATTAAGAGTACAGGGTTATAGGGTTAAAGCACTTGGGGTAAAGGGTTAGGAGCTCAAGGGATTGGGAGTGGAAAAATATGTTTGTTAATAATCTTAATTCCATAAGCTAATCGAGTTATTTCAAT